TTATTTTATAATTTAATATAATTTAAATTGTAAAATAATTTTTTATTAATACAATTAATTATTTTCTTTGACGGAAGATGCTATTAATTATTGAAGAAAAGATGAACTAAAAAATGCTATTAAAGCATCTCGCCGTCGCTGCTAGGGTTCTCCTTCTCCGACGCGGGCCTCTCACCTCAGTGCCCCTCCTTGCTTTTGCAGGGCCTCCCTCCTCCTTTTTTTTCCTTGTTGCCTTCTGCCTCTCCATTCCATGGATCAAACTCGTCTTTTGGCTTGGAACTGTCGAGGTCTTGGAGAAACTCCTACGATTTCAAAGTTGAAAAAACTCTATTTCCAACATAAGCCCAGCATCATCTTCCTCTCTGAAATAAAGCGCACAACAGTGGAGATGACTTCGATTCGTCCAGATCTAGGTTTTGATCAATGTTTTGCTGTTGATTGTGTTCGAAGGGGGGGCGGCCTCGCTATGCTCTGGCGTGACGATTTTAACCTAACTATTTCCATTTTCTCCCAATCTCACATAGATGTGGAAATTGTTGATCCGGGTGGAGGTGAATGAAGACTCACAGGGTTCTATGGACGTCCGGAGGTTGCTCGAAGAAAGGAATCATGGACCCTGTTAAAATCACTCAAGGCTGCCTCTTCTCAAACGTGGCTGTGCTTAGGTGATTTCAATGAAATTCTGTGACAATCGGAAAAGGCAGGAGGGAACCATTGACCATATAAACAAATGGAAGTCTTTGCAGAGGCCTTAAACTTTTGCAACTTAAATGCTAGTAAAGGGGCTTTAGATCCCTTATTAAATTATGGTAGCTAGGGATTGTTGACGAGTAGAACAGATGGGCACATGTTTGGGTGCATTTGCAGACGAATAGGGTACCTGGCAACTGCTCAGTGGAAGACTATACCCCTCATGTTGCTGATTATTTTTTAAGAATAGCTTGGATGACAACCTATAGTTTGGGGACTATTTGTTGTCAAAATCCTTTGCTCTCCCTAAGAGGTTGGTTAATTAGGTGAGGACGTCCAGTAGCTTCCAATGCTCATAGGGACCTTCCTTTCTACATTCGTAGCCCTATTTAGCCTATATAGCGATTGAAATTGCAATCTCTAGTTGCAAATGACTCTATTTACTTAATTGTCTATATTCGTCATGAACATAATTTAAATCTGTTACAAGGCTGTAGGTTATGCTTCTGATTCTGCTTTTTAGACTCTTATGCGTTAGGCTATATGCCATGTGATGGAGTTTTTTACTGTATTTTCTTATTATTCAATATAATTCTCCATTTCTTATATAAAAAAAAAAATGCTATTAAAGCATTAGTTCGAGCTTTGACTGACCATCCATCCATTCAAGCATTGGGTTAAAGCCTATTATCGTCCCTCTACTTTGTAAAAAAGTTCAATTTAACCCTTCTACTAAGGAATCATCTCAGGTTGTCCCTCTACTTCATTTTGAACTCACATATCCTCCCTTTACTATTCAAAAAGTGATTAATTTCATCCCTCCATCCATTTCATGGCTAACACCGTCACTTTTTACCGTTAAAGCCTAACAGTTTGGTGTTTAACATATATTTCTACATTATTCTTTTTTCTAATTTGGCTATAATAAGACCCACCAATGCCAAATCATACTCCATATTAATATCTTTCTACATGAATATTTTACCAACCTTTTTTTAATTATTAGCCATGCTTATTTATCTCTTTTTATTAACTTTTTAGTTAAGTCAATCAAAGGGATATTTTTTAAAACTATAATAAGTAATTAAGTAAATTTAATTCTTTAAAAAAATAGATAATTTTTTTTAATTTTATTAAAGTTTAAAAAAATTATAACTAGAAAAAGAAAAATTCCTAAGGCCTATTACTATCACTTTAATGGTAAACTTTTGAGTGTATAAAGCAAGATCACAATTTGCGATTCTATTTATGTACATAAGTGGGCTAAATAACTATATGAGTGAAACATAAGTCTATATTTGTATTTAATTTAAAAATTAATAGATATAAAATTTTGATACTCAATATTTATTTAGGTATTAAAAGTTTATTTTTATTATTCAACTTGTTCAATATAAATATACTCGTAGATGTACTTATATATTTATTGAATATTATAATTTTTTAATACAAATTAAAATATAATTAAACCCATTACAAAACATATACTTTAATTCATGCAAAATATATAAATGTAAATTTCTTTGAATACATTAGTTTGATATAAAAGGTGTGTCCTTAAAATAACCCAGGTAAGGATTAATATCAACATGCAAAAAATTAGTACCAAGATGAAAAAAAAAAAAAAAAAAGCTGGTTTGGAAACATCTTGATTATAAATATCAAAAAAATAATTCATATACATATAAATATATATGACTTTATACTTATAATAAAATACATAATTAAGTTGGAATATAAACACGAAAGGTAGTAGAAGGCACTAATTAAGGATAAAATGTTTTATTTTATATATGTCAACTTTTATTTGTTTATTTTAGAAGACAAATATTTTTTGAATTTTTCTTAAAATAATAATTGTTTTTTATAGTTTAAGAAAGAAAAGCATATTTTTTAAGAGTTATTTTAAAAACACATCTCTTACATTAAACTAGTGCATTCAAAGACACTTATATTTATATATTACGTATAAACTAAAATATATATTTTGCAATAGATTTAATTATATTTTAATTTGTATTAAAAAGTTATAATATTTAATAAATATATAAGTATATTTACAAGTATATATATACTCAGCGAGTTGAATAATAATAATAGTCTTTTAATATTTAAATGAATACTGAGTATCAAAATTTTATATCTATTAATTTTTAAATTAAATACAAATATAGACAAATGCTTCACTTATGTACTTGTTTAGTCTATTTCTGTACATGAATAGAATCACAAATTATGAATTCATCTTAAACCACCCAAAGTTTTCAATTAAAGAGATATTAATAGGTATAATGAATTTTTCTTTTTTTAGTTATAAATTTTTTTAACCTTAATAAAATTTTAAATTTTTTTATCTATTTCTTTTTTTTTAAGAATTAAATTTACTTAATTACCTATTACAGTTTTAAAAAATATCTCTTTGATTAACTCAACTAAAAAGTTAATAAAAAGAGATAAATAAACGTGACTAATGATTGAGAAAAAAAGTTGGTAAAATATTTATGTAGAAAGATATTA